ATCGTGAACAGTAAAGTAATAAAATTGTAAATTTTATGGATTATGTATTTAATGGTGTTATCTATCAATTGGAGCTATCAAATGCTTACCTGTTACGCCTCGTGTTTCCGCTTTAGCACGGTGTGACAGATTTGGTATCAGAGCCTCGGTTATAGAGAACACCGGTTTTTCTTAAAACCACAATCTATAACCAAATATTTTCAAAACAATGTCACTAGTATAACCAGAGGATGAATGTCGTGTTATTATACTTAAATTAAACAGAGCTTGATCACCTATGTTTAACTTAAGTATTATGATAAAAGATTCAAATCGGTTGTCTTGGAAATATGCTCAAATTTAGAAATTTTATTTAAAACATGAAAAGCATGATTATGTGTGTGTTTGCATAAATTTTGAATATCCATCGCCCTAGACTAACCAAAAGCTCTGGTTGTGAAGTGAAGCAAGTTATATAGAGCACTAAGACAACCCAAGGGTCAACTTTGTATCTGAATACTTGGTAGTTAGACATTGATAAAGGGTCTAGTCTCTATAGCCTCTGTATTCAAAACTTCGTACTACGCATTAGGTAAGATTTGCTGAAACACCCCAAATCCACTCATTGCATATATAACACAATTCATATATAGAATACATATTTTCCCCACATAGGTCCTTGATACAAGAGTATAATATAAAATTCACAACTCAAAAATTCCAAAATTACATGCTCTTGCATCCTATCATCTATGCTTCCAAAAACAGCTAAGCATATAGGGAAGTAATTCACACAATACTCTTTCCCTTATCATTACCTGCACACATAATTTTGGAGACACAAAAAAAATGAGGGTTAGACATGAATGTCTAGTGAGATTCCCTTTTTATGAAATGCAGGGTGAAGACCACCAAAACATTTATTTCAAATCATTCATCATATGTAACAAAACTAAAAACATACAGCTTCGGTCCATCGGGCCTCTGGTTCAAAACCATACTTAGAAAAAAATTCAACATCCCGGACCAGAGCCCCTCTGGTCTCTCTTCCAGAGCTTCTGGCTTCACAACCGGAGCTTCTGGTTCTAAACGACACTTAGAATTTTTTTTTTCAACACACAAGACCAGAGCCCCTCTGGTCTCTCTTCCAGAGCTTCTGGTCTTCATGACCAGAGCCTCTGGTTGAACTACTGAAAGGGGAATTTCCCCAGGCAATTTTATAAAGACAAGTAAAAGCGGAACCGTCAAAAAGCTAATCAGCAAGAAAAGCAACGACAACTTTGACTCACAAACCAAGCCATAAGAAGCCAAAAATGACAAAGAGAAATACACCAAAACATAAAATTAAAGCAAGCCAAAAAATAAAAGGCGAAAAACACCAACATATTCCAGAACCGAAAACCTTCATCATCCACAATATCACACGTCATTGGTTCTCGTGAATTTCTTCCTTCTCTTCCACGCCATTCTTTGAAGAATCTGCATCTTGATCTCCGCCACAACTTTGTCTCCAGCATGGTTGTAATTGTCAAAAAACTTTCTGTTCCTTTCCCTCCATATATGGTATACCGTTGCCGATATACCAAGTTTTTGAACCGTAGACCAAGATTTCCACCTTTGTGATAAACCCCTGTTAAGAATATCCTCCCATTTGTTCAGACAATTCTTTAACCCAACTTCCTTTTTAATAACCTCCCAAATACTACTCGAGTAGTTGCATTMAAAAAWTAAGTGATTGWGCGTTTCAATCACTAATTTACAGAAAACACATTTCAAATCCGGAGGTTCATGTTTCCACTGACTAATGCGATCTTGGGTTGGTAATTTATTCTGACAAGCCATCCACATGCATAGAGCATGTTTAGGTATGTATGCTTTATTCCATACCACCTTGTACCAATGCACAATCGGCCCCACTTCCTGTAATGTTTGCCATGCCACTTTTACCTCAAAAATTTTACGAGAATGTTTAGCATCAAACCATCTGACCGTATCCTCAATTGGACTAGGATGTGGTATCATAATACTTTGCAGCTGGGGATATTGTTGTATCCATTCCACCGGCCAATTAGTGCCAAACCGTTGCATTATATCATATACCATAGAGTTATTTTGAAAGCCATGAGCATTTATGAATCTGTAAGACAACAATTGGATGAGGGGACCAAACTCACTCCATGTGTCTTCGCAAGCGTGCGTAGATAAACCATTTCCCACATTGTAGATAAAAAACCTTCTGCAATGAGGTCTTAACTCTAAAAGGTTCCGGAGAAGCCACGACCATTCATTCATCTTCTTCATTATCCAAAAATTTCTGTCCCGAATTTATCCAAAAATTTCTGCCCCGAATACAATGAGACTGAATCCAAGAGACCCACATGGTATTTCTTCGAGTAAGAATATCCCAAATATGTTTAAAAAGTAAACACCGATTCCAAATCGCTAGTCTTTTCATACCAAGGCCACCATTTTGTATAGGTAAGCATACCCTATCCCAAGAAACTCGACATTTCCCCAGTTGACCCTCCTCATTATTCCATAAAAAGTTACGGAACAGCTGTTCAATTTCATGGATAGTGGTTGCCGGTACTAGAAATACCGACATCCAATAGGTTTGCATAGAGTAAAGCACAGAGATGATGAGCTGACGTCTTCCCCCATAAGAAAGAAATTTGTTTTTCCAGTTCAATAATCGAGATTTTAATTTAAGCACAAGAGGGTTGAAATCACGTACCTTCAATCGAACTGGAGAAAGAGGAACTCCAAGGTAGCGAATAGGAAAAACCCCCGGACGAAAAGGTAAGCAGTTATGAATGATATTTTGAACATCCAGGCCCACATTCCCGAAAAACACTTCACTTTTTTCAAGACTCGGAGACAAACCCGAACGATCCTCAAGCAATTGGAGAGCTCGTTTTATAACTTCCACTGAGGTAGCATCCCCCCGAGAAAATATAAACAGTTCGTCCGCAAAACATAAATAGGTCAACTTGATCTCAGCACATCCTTGATGGTATGCAAAATTAGCCTCATCTTCAATACATTTTGTTAGAAGAATCGATAAACCTTCCATAACCACCGTAAACAAGTAAGGAGATAATGGATCCCCTTGTCGAAGACCCCGCTTACCATGAAAGAAACCCTCCGGCTGTCCATTAAAACATATAGAGAAAGTAGACGAAGTGATTAGAGACTTTATCCAATTAAGCATAACTGGATGAAATCCCATTCCCTTTAGCATCTCTAGAAGAAACTGTCAGTCAACTGTATCATATGCTTTCTGAATATCAATCTTAAACGCACACTTTGGCTCCCCTTGAGGTTTTTGATAACCAGCTACAAGCTCATGCGCCATTAAAATATTATCAGTTATCTTTCGTCCAGGGATGAACGCAGATTGAGCCTTGCTAATAAGAACATCCAATGAGCCTTTTATCCGATCAGCAATAATTTTACTGATACATTTCAGCAAAACATTACAACAGGCAATGGGTCGATAATCAGTAACACATGAAGCATTTGGAACCTTCGGTACGAGGCACAGTAAAGTATGATTCAACTGTAACTCCAAATTTCCAGAGTAGAAGAAATTATGTACTGCAATGAGAACATCCCTACCAACCACACTCCAATTCGCTTTAAAGAACTTTGACGAAAACCCATCAGCGCCAGGAGCCTTATCATTCCCAATATCAAACAGAGCAGTCTGTATTTCCATATCCGTAATCGGTCTGATTAAATGCAGAGAGTCCGATAACGATAAAGAGTGAACAAAAGAGCAATCCACCATAGAAGGACGAACCAACATATTAGAATTACCCAGAATAATTTCAAAATGATTAACAAAAGCCTTTGGAACATCATGATGTTCAAAAACAGTACCAAAAGAATCCATAACAGTAGCAATATGGCTCCTATTACGCTTCTCTCTCATAGCATGATAGAAGAACTTAGAGTTTCCATCCCCTTCATTAAGCCAATAAATCTTCGCTTTTTGTCTAACCATTTCCACTTGATCATTTCTAGCTTTTTGATATGCTAACAAGAGGTGAGCAATGTCCTCTTTCAGCAAATCATTAAACGGGTCTAGATCACAAGCCAATTGAGCAACATCAAGTTCCGTCTTTAACAGAGCCACCTTCTTATCCAAACACCCATAAGAATTTCGAAGCCGACGACAAACCCCTTTCATCTCTTGCATTTTCCTAAGCACTCTCTTCATATAAGAACCCCTCTAAGGCTTCATCCACACCTCCTCCACAGACTTAAGGAAGTCCACATGAGAAGTCACAAAATTATCAAATTTGAAACCACGTTGACGGAGTCGCCTACCAACTTTGAAAGAAAGAATTCCCGGCGAATGATCTGAGATCCCCCTTGGTTCAAAGAAAATCGAGGCATCCCCAAATCTAGCAATGAAAGCTGAATTACCCAAAATACGATCTAATTTACGCATTACACCGTCACCCCCAGAAGGTTTCTGCGTCCAAGTATATTGGCACCCCTGGTACGTGATATCAAAAAGTTCGACCTCTTCCAGACAAAGATGAAACTCCTCCATATCTGAGTTACGTCCAGAAGAGCCACCCAATCCATCATGAGGAAAAAGCATTGAGTTGAAATCACCCATCGCAACCCATGCTTTCCTTTGAACAAAAGCATTGAATTTACCAATATCCTGCCAAAGGTCCCTCCTTTCCACTCCCGTATTACACCCATAAACAAAGGTAATAAAAATGGGCTCAGGATGACCAATAATCCGAATTTCACAATGTACATATTGTAAGTGCTGCTCAATCATTATCAAGGACAAAACAGACGGGTCTCATGCAATAATAAGACGAGTGCCTTGGTCACACATTAACCCATTTGTGATCCAACGCCAATTACCAAACACTCTACCACACACTTCCCCCATATGACTATGTACAACTTTAGACTCAATGATGCAACATAAAGAAAGACGCTTTACATGAATAAGATCACGTACCTCTTTTTGCTTTATTAGGGCATTTAGACCCCTAATATTCCAAGCAGCGAACTTTATCATTGAGAGTTTGTAATGAGTATCTCCCCCTACTTTGTTCCATAGAATGCCCCTCAGTATCAATTATCTCTATATCATCATCATCACTAGAGTCATCAGATTGTAAGGAGGAAAACCGATTACTAATAGACGTGGATGATATAGCGCCTTGTCTCGGTTTAAAAGCATGGACCACCGCTTGGACAAGATCCGGACCCCCCTTTGAAAGAATTGTGACGTTCGAATGATCGTCTCTGCCTTTTGGCGTTCTCCCAGCATCCACCGTACAATACTGACCTTCCACATGTTCCACACTTTCCCCAACTAAGCCTGTAGAAGCTGCAGGCTTAACAACTTCCTTTTCCTTTTTAGATACTCCCGAGACATGCGATACCTCAGTAACCTGCTTTATAGTACCAACACCAACTATCAAATGAGTTTTAGAAGCTGCACCTGAAGTAGTTGCCTGATCGCCATTACGAGGTCCTAAATTATTCTTCGGCTTCCAATGTCGTCTTCTAGGTTCTTTAAAATTATCATTATTCAACGACCGTACATTCTCCTTTGGTTATTTTATTTCCCCTTGCATGCAAGAAGACGTACGATGTCCAAAAACTTTGCACTTTGAACATTGGGATGGCACCCAATCATACTCCAAAACCACCTTTATTATGTCCTCACCATTACCCGAAAGCCTCGGAATAACAACTTCAATTTGCCTCTGGATCTCACCCACGGCCCAAACATCCACCAAGACTTTAGCAAAATTAGTACGTCCCCAAGCTTTATCACAAGTGCTAGCTGTACAAGCATCCAAACGCAAAGGGATACCAACTGCACTTGCAATACGGCTAATACCCTCTCTATTGAACGCAACAAGAGGAATGTTAAAGAACTTAATCCATAACGGACACGAGGTATGCTCGGGTTTATGAAGTCCCTTTGAGGGATCCCATGAAGAGACAAAAAGCGGCCTCCCTCTAATCATGAGGGGGACGACTCAACCACTTGATTGCAACCACCATTATCAATAAACCGAAAAAAGAAATAGCCAAGATCATTTACCATAGCATCTATAAGACCAAACTTTCCCCATGCATTTTGCACCGCACGCAGGACAATGGGAAATGGAAGACGAGGGCCCAAAAAATACCCATAAAGAACTGACTGGAAAGATTTAGCCATACCTCTCGTAGCTTCCAATGGAAAATGGATCCGCGGTTTAACACTCTTTTCGACCGGGAAATATTGACGCTCTTTCTTTAGATTACCTCCCACTTTTGCGGCAAAAGACGTTTGAGCTTGCAAGCACGGCTCACCCCTAACTGCAGGAGAGAGKCGCTCCCACACCGAGGCCCTCTTATTGAGATCAACATTAGCCCCATTCTCCGACAAAACCGCTTCCTTCACCCCCCCATTCAAAGAAGTTCCATGCAAATCACAAGGACTCGTCTCATCCAGGATTATATCAGCAAAATCCTGTGAAGAAGTTTCTTCAAAAATCACGTCCGCAAAATCACCCATAATAACCACACTCTCAGACAATAACTAGCTCCCAAATCCCTAGTCAAGAAGCCATGATGCTGAATCCCTCGAAGAGCTTCCTCAATAAAATAAACGAAGACCTCACAGGGAGGCGCTGAATATTCTATCAAGTAACTCAGCAAAGGAAACGAAGATCACAGAAACACTTGACACAAGGAAAGAAAACTAGATATTGCACGCAACCAAGCCACAAAACAAAACCGGAACGACACCCAAAAAGTTCAAAAAAAACAATAATCAAAAAACCCAAAAAGCAAAGAGACTACCGAACGAAGACAAGCAACAAACGAAGATGAACCTACGGCGCACAAGCAAAAAGCGAAAAAGAAAGCTACGGCTCAAACCCTAGAAAAAATAGGAAAGCATGCAAAAAAAAAAGGCAGCCAACCACAAGCAAACCCTAGCCGTGAGCAACCACCAAACGGCGAAACCCTAGCAACCTGCAGACCCAACAGCAAAACAGAAGACCGGCAACAGCAAAACCCAAAGATTCTCCACAGAAAATCCCACTGAACGAACGACCTGAACGAAAAGCAGAATCTGGAACTATACGGTCAAAAAACTGCACAAAACAGCAGCCAATATCGAACACAGAAAACCAAAAACCAACCAGCAGCAAACAACACGAAACAAATCTCACAACCGAAGCATAAAGATCACGAAACGAGAAGCTAAACGATGGAGTTATACCCAGCGATCGAGAGACAATAATGGAAAAGATCACATAAAATCACAACTAGAAGCCCTAGCCGCAGTTAACTGCGGAAACTAGGCGAAACCCTAGTTATGCAAACACCTAGATCGCAAGAACTAGACGACAAAGTACAAGAGGAAATGCAGCCAAATAGCAAACTCACGTCTCCAAAACACTAGATCTCAAACAAAAAAGATCAACACCTAGCGGAACAAACCCTAAACAAAGAAAAACAAGCCGTTCCTTAAAAACGATCCAAAACATGCAGCGAGAACCCTAGACAAAGCCGAAGATCAAACACAATCCACAAATTATCCAAACGACCGGCATTCAATCATCATCCGTCATTCCTCTCATCCCGTGGCAGTGGATGGTTATTTCCATAAGGATTCTCACCTCTGGTTGAACTAACCAGAACTTCTACTCACATAATTTCTTAAAATGAACTTCAATAAACTTTCAATCAATAAGATAGACTTTTTTTTATAAAAAGAGAGATTATAAAGAGTTCATGCTTGACCAGAGCCTCTGGTTGTACTAACCAGAGCTTCTGGTTCCAAAAGACATGACCAACCAGAGCCCCTCTGGTTCAACGTCTAAGTCAACCAGAGCTTCTTTGAGATGTTTTTCATAAAAGATTCTAAGTATAAAACTTTCAAAAACATGATTTTGACATAAAAGCTCTTAATAAAAGATACAAAACCTTTAATCCAAATAACAAATATAGTAAAAACTTGCTCATCCTACAAATCAATAACCAAAATCCTCTGGTCCAAAAAAATGAGGACCAACCAGAGCCCCTCTGGTTCCTTACAAGGAACAACCAGAGCCTCTCTGATTCCTCACGAAAATAACTATTCTGTTTTAAAACACTTTTAACCAATTCCAATTTCCATAGGCCAAGTTTTCCCTTTCTCAATAACATCAATACTATTATTTCAAATAAGAACAATATCTTTGAGTTCTCAAATCACAAAGAAGTAAGGACTCAAATCTATTGTAGTCTTAAAAGACAGAATTGCCACCCTTATTCCAAAAGACACCTCTTTTTGATATACACCTTTATTCCTCCATCAAAACAGGGCTACTTATCAGAACAGACATAAGTCACCACGTCTGAAAGTACCCATTCCCAGTTCCAAGCCAGAACAGACAAAAGTCACCACGTCTGAGGGAACTATTACTTAAAACAAGTTTCATACCAAAACAGACTCACGTCACCACGCTTGGTAGAAATAATTTACAAAATCTACTTCCATACCAAGACAGACTTACGTCACCACGCTTGATAGGAAGGTTTCCCAGAATAACAATAACACCTTTAAACTATCAAAATAGTTTTACAAGCTTTTCTTCAAACCCATCATCAAAACCCATAGAGTATAATCAATAGTAAAACTCACAGTTTATAAACAAAGATAGTTTTAAAAGAAAACTCAGCTTAACGAATCACATATTCTGAAGATTAAACACACAGCAAATCACAAGCTCTTCAAACAACTTTGAACAAAGATTCCTTCAAGAATGCTTTTCACCGCCACAAAACTTTTCTTTCACTTTGAACAGACTTTTCGACAAAATGGAAATGATAAGGATAACATCTTATCTTTTTGTTTCTTTAAATACTCCCACCAAGGCGGTGGAGCTTATTTTAATTATAAACTCATAGGCGGTGAAAGCTTTGTCCAATAGAAATGACTTTAGGTGGTGGATTTTGCATTATAAAATTCATGGTTTCTCAACCATGAAAGATATAAGCTTTATTAACGTATGTCCCATTTAGTGTTATTTTGACGGGACAAGGGATGGGGTTTGACCGGTTGACTTTTTCTCTCTAGTTTTTGTGAGTTACGGCTAGGGTTTTTGTCATCGGATCTGCTGCTGCTGCTGTTTTCGATCTTCTTTTGCTTGCTGATCCGTTTGTCTAGGTTGTTCTTCAAGCGGAAGTTTAGCGGTTTGTCTTTGTCGCGTTACCGGCGGCGGGTTTTGATTTTCTGTTTTGGTTGCCGACGTTGATCTTCGTTTATGTTTGCTGCTTTGTTTGCCGAGCTGCTGTGATCGTATTCTGGTTGGGTGGCTTCGTTTGGTGTCTTTCTCCTTCGGGGTTTTGCACGGCGGTGGTTAATCTCCTTTTCAGGGTTTTGATCGGCGGCGGTTTTTCTCCAGGTTTGCTTTCGTTTTGTTTGCTTTCGCTTTTAACGGCTGAGTCTCCTTTGGTGTTTGGCGTCTCGGTTTTGATTCCTGGGTGAAAGGGTAGGGCTGCCGGTGTGTGTTTTTTGAAAGGCTAGGGTTTGCATGTTTTTCGGGTTTAGGGTTTGCATGCAAGCGAGTTTTTGTGAGGCTGTTTTGTCGCTTTCTTGGTTTCTTGCTGCTGTTTTTCTCTTCTCCCGAAGTGTGGTTTGCTGTTAGAAGGATCGGGACTTGGTTTGCCGTATGCTTCTCTAGGGTCCGTTCTTCTTGACGGCTAGGGTGTGTATGCGTTTGTCTTCTCGGTTTGGTTTCTTGTTGGCTGTTTCTTTCTCTTTTCGGTTTGAGCTCTTCGTGGCGTCTTAGCTCATTGGTGTTGGGTGTTTGGTGGTGAATTTGGTATCATTATCCAGCTTATCTTCCTCGCATCAAGTGTTTCTGWGGTCTTCGTCTCTTTTTGTTACGCTTCTTGATAGAGTATTCAGCACCTTTTCTAAAGGTCTTCGTCTACTTTATTGAGATCGCTTGATAAAAGGATTCAGCACCACGGCTTCTTGATTAAGGGTCTGGTAAACTGGGTTTTGGTAAGAATGCCTGACTTTGCAGACGTTATCTTGGAAAATGTTGTCTCTCGGGATTTTGCCGATGTTATTTTGGATGAAGTGGATGCACCTATAAAGACTACGGTTGGCCTTAAACCTGGTTTGTCTTCTAGAGTTTCGGTTTGGGATCGCCTCTCCCCAATGCTTCGGACTGATCACAGTGTGGTACCTCCTGTTTCTTTTGCGGAGATCGTGGGCGGCTCTTCCTCCTCCGATCTTAAGTATTATCCTGTTGAGAAGAGTTTAAAACCGAGGATCAGTTTCCCCCTGGAGGTTACCAAAGGTATGGCTAAATCTTTTCAATCGGTCCTTTATGGTTATTTTCTTGGTCCTCGTCTCCCGTTCCCTATTGTTTTACGTGCGGTTCAGAATGCTTGGGGAAAATTTGGTTTACTTGATGCTATGGTGAATGATATGGGATATTTCTTTTTTCGTTTTAATGATGAGGGCGGATGTAACCAAGTTCTTGAAACGTCCCCTCTAATGATTAGAGGGAGGCCGCTGTTTGTATCTTTCTGGGACCCTTCGAAGGGGCTTCAGAAGCCTGTGCACACTTCTTGCCCATTGTGGGTGAAATTTTTCAATATACCTCTGGTTGCTTTCAATAAAGAGGGTATTAGCCGCATTGCTAGTRCCATAGGHGTTCCTTTGAGATTAGATGCTTGTACTGCCTCCACTTGTGATAGAGCATGGGGTCGTACAAACTTTGCGAAAGTGTTGGTGGATGTGTGGGCTGTGGGAGAAATGCAGCGGAATATAGAAGTGGTGATTCCAAGGATCTCAGGTACTGGAGAGGACATCATAAATGTTGTTCTAGAATATGATTGGATTCCCTCTCAATGTTCAAGCTGTAAAGTGTTTGGTCATCGTACGGGGTCTTGTCTGAAAGGAGATGTTACAAAGAAACGGGTTTCTGAGACAGTCGTGGATAAAAGGGGGTTTACTGACGTCAAGAGGAAA